CCACAGGCACAAGGCAGAGCCGCTGCCCCAGCGGGACCTGCAGCCTCGCCCTGTCCGTTCCATCTTCCAGCACAAGACCCCAGCCAGCACTGCTGTCCAAAATCCTGTGTTGCCTTCAAATCCCAGTCCTCACAAAAAGCAGGGCTGTGCCTTCCTGACAGCATCAGACTTCGCAGACAGCAGTGACTATACAGAGTACTTGCGGGCAAACCTGGTGCGTGGCATGCGGGTGCGCTTGCTGGCGGACTGCGGTGACATTAGAGCTGGGGAGGAAGGCGAGTTTCTCCAGAGCACGGATAACATGCACACAGTACTGGTAGGTCATGGGGAGACTTCTGGCTAGAATGGCAGAAGGGCATGACTGGGTTGACAGATGAATTCCTAATTATACTTTTATGTGCAGGAAATTGGACAATAGGCGTGGCATAATGTGTATCACTGTCTGCATCTGTCCTAGCAAAATACTCCCCTTTCAGAGCTGGAGGGATGGGTTGCATGGAAGGCTAGTCTGGTTTTGTATGGGTTGTGCCACTAAGATTTCTTATCCTCTAAAACAGGTCGTACTAAAAAGCCTCTCCCCGTTTTTCTTACACCTCCCCTCTAAGAACTTGAGAGGTAAGGTTTCCCTGGAGCCCTCTCTTCTCTGGATTGAACAACCCTAATTCTCTCAACACTTCCTCAAAGCAGAGGTGTTCCATCCCTCTTACTCTCAGAGGCCTTCCTCTTTACCTGCTCCAAGAGGTCCATGCCTTGTACTGAAGTCTTCAGAGCTGGATGCAGTTCTCCAGGTGGGGTCTCACCAGAGCAGGGCAGAGGGGCAGAATCATCTCCCTTCACCTGCTGGCCACACTGCTTCTGATGCAGCCCAGGGTATGGTTGGCTCTTTGGTCTCCGAGTGCACGTTGCCCGGTTGTGTCCAACTTTTCATCCACCATTTCTGCTAAGTCCTTCATAGGGTTGCTTTCAATCCCTTTGTCCTCTGGCCTGGATTGGTAGTGGGGTTTGCCACAACCTAGGTGCAGGACCTTGAACTTGGCCTTGTTGAAGCTCATGAGGTTCCCACTTCTTGAGTCAATCCAGGTCTTTTTGGATGCCATCCCATCCGTCAGGCATGTTGACTGCACTGCTCATCTTGGTGTTGTCAGCAAATCTGCTGAGAGTGCAGCCAGTCTCACTGTTGTCACTGATGAAGATATCAAATGGTATTGGTCCCCATACAGACCCCTGAGGGACACCACTTGTCACTAGCCTCCAGCTGGACATTTGTGAGAACCCCAGCCTTATTCTGGGGTCCCATTTGGTGGTGAAATTCCTCCTCCAACCCGTGCTTCCAAAGAAAAACTGCGCAGGCTCTTGCTGTTTGGTCTCAAGGCAGTTTATTGTGAGTTATCTAAAAGATTGTCTTCTCGGGCTGTGGCTGCTTGGTCAGCGGCCTGGGCAGAGGCACACACACACACTGACATCCTCTCTGTCTGCTGTCTTCTTCTTCTCCCCCCACCCAGGGCTGCTGCTATCTTTTATATGATATATTGCTTATTACATGTTTACAGTTATTCCCCAATACCTACTACCTATATTACAAAGTGCTTTTCTACTCTAAACCAATCTGTGAGTGCCAACATCACCAAGAACACGGAGGCAAGGAAAAGGAAGGAGGAAGAACAGGATCAGCCCACTTTCCTCCATCTTAGAACTTCTGACCCCCATGTACAAAGTAAAACCCCCCCCTGTACATGTGCTGAAACCCCCCTGTAAAATACTAAAAAAAATTCCCCTCTGTTTTGTAACTACTTTTGCTATACTATCTAACCTTCTGTGACTGCTTGTTCCACCTTCAAAATTGGTAACTCATTCCATGGCTCAAACTCAAAATCACAGCTGTTTCCAGCTGCCTGCCAGGGTCTAAAATGCTTCTGACCAAGGCCTGGAACCTCTAAAAATGTCTGAGAGACATTTTGAGTTCCCACAGACATTGAGCTGTTGACCTCTGAATATGACCATTCAATCAATTCCTCATCAACTAATAGTCCATTTGTTGAATCCATGTCTCTCCAATTTGAAGAGAAGGATGTTGTGGGATTGCTGTCAAAAGCATTACAGAAGTCCAGAAAGGTGACAGCCATAGCTCTTCCCTTGGCCACTAATGTAGTCACTCCATCATAGGTGGCCAGTAGGTTAGCCAGGCAAGACTCTCCTCTGGTTTTCTGGAATCACCTCCCTGTCTTCCATGTACTTCAGTTAAAAGGCTTTTCTAGTTCTGATCCATGCATTGGTGGTGTTTCTATTCAGGCCTCCTCAGCTGAATAACTGCTTTGCATCTTAATTTTAAGTGGTTTATAAACCTCTTTTATAACCCACTCCATAAACATAACTTGCAAAGGAAATGTATTTCATACTGATTCTTTCTTTGTCCTTATACTTCTTGGTTTCTAATATTTGGGTTTTCCTAAAATTGTGATATTTGTTTCTTACAAAGTTGTACTTGCTTTTAGTCTTAATTATCTGGGCACTTGGAACGGGCACCAAGGTCTTTTGATATTTTCTCCTGTTGCCAGTGGCATAAATTTCAAAGGGTTTTCACTTCAATGTTGAACTAAAGTGTACTGTTAGCTTCCATTCCCTTTGTCCTGTTGGTCCCTTGGGTTTCCTCTGCTGTCTATTTTTCTGTTTAATTAGGTTGAATGAATTTGCAGTTGCTCCATTCAGGCTTATTTTCAGTAAGTTATTTTTAAGGCTCATACTATTAACAAAATCAGATCTGAATGGCAATTGGACCAGTCCATCACAACTCTGTTTCTTACCTTGTCTCATCTTTCCTTTGTTGCTCTGATTTCTGTTGCTGTCCTTTCTCTCCAAAAAAAGATTTTCACTGTTGTGTCTGGTCCTGCAGCCATATCTCAGTGAAACAGGCAAACCATATGTTTTTCTGCTGTATTTTTAAGCTGCTGACATGTTGTACTTGCTGTTGCTGGGTTCTCCTGCTCAGAAGGTTAAATGCAGCACTATGGTACGGGAAGCCATAAAAAGTCCTTCTGACCTTTGAGACGCAACTTGGACAAAGCAGAGGAAACCATTGCTGCCTTTGAGACACACTTATCAAGAGCCCAAAAACTGTTTGAGAAGGTTGATGAATGACCAAGGTTGTAAAAGTGAGGTACTTTATATAAGGCTCATCTGCCTCGAGATAGTGTTGGTTATGTCCTTTGTCTGCTTTTCCCAAGCACCTGCAGCTTGACATTTTGGGAACAGGTGTGATTAGCTGGATGCACTCATGCCTCTGCTGCTGTACTAAGTGAGATCTGTAGTGGTTGCAGGCAAAGTTAGTGTTTCTTTAAAAATAAAGATCCAGGTGTAACCAAGGCAAGAATTTAGTAAAGATAGTGTGCCTCAAAACTGGACAATGTGTGTGCTGAAATTCGTAAAAAAAATGTGTAGTCTTCTACTTCTTTGGGAAATGGGAGGACAAATGTTTCAAGAGGACTGAGCAAGTGAGCAGATCTGATTGTCTGGATTTGTTTCACCTGTAGGTTTTACAGCAGTCAACGGGTCGGACCTACTGGGTGCATTGGCACATACTGGAGATTATTGGCTTTGGGGACCAGTGGGAAGATCCTGCTGCTCAGGTGAAGGAATGTAGTGTGAGAAAGAGCTTCACTGTGGACACAGGTGAGATTGTGATGCCTGTGTATGTAATCTCTTTCTGATTATCCTGTGGGATAGGAGTGGGGATCTTTATATGGCCAAACACATAGCAAGTAGTAGGCTGGGTTTAGAAAGCACTATCAGTTTGTGTGACCATGTAAAGCTAGTTAAGGAATTACATGCCTTGTGATTGAATGGAGTATTTTTGAACCCTAGACTTCTGTAAAGATGTGTAATGCAAGTAATGATATAAAAAGTATAAAATTTAATTTAAACTCCAACTGTCAAAACTTTGTGTTTGAATGAACTCACCGAACTGCCAAAACATGAACTTGGAATTCCTCTGAGATGAAGCTGTATGGGGGCACTCAAGTCCCCTTAAGTAAGTGATAAGTATTTTTAAAAGCATCAACATAGCAGCAATTTGTTTAACTTCATACTGTTAAGCTTTTAACAAGGTGTTAAAGTATTAAGGAACTGTTTTTGTAAGACATCTGCAGCATCTCCTAGAATCATTTAACATTTCCCTTGTGCTGGGAGAAAAAATGAAAACCAGAATCCAGACTTCAGATATGCCTTTCTTGTTCAGCATCTGACATGATTCTAGCCAGGGAAACCTATAAAAGTAACTCTTTTATCACAGCAGTGGTCTTCTAGAATATTTTTTGTGTAGAGTGGTTTGGATTTACTGGCTGAAAGAGGGAATATTGAGATCAGCAGCTAATTGCACACTTTGAAACTATTCTTTTTGATGGTTTCTTAAATGGCTTTTACCTCTTGTATTTAAAGGCTTAACTTCATGTCAGTGTGCAGTGTCTAAGTTAAAACAAACTTAGTTGGATTTCTCCTTTTCATGGTCTTTCTGATTCTGGGAGAAGCAGGAGCTCTGTTTCACTTCTGTGTATAACTCTTTCCAGGCATCATATCCAACTTAGAATATGAATTGAAATGTGGGTGTGCAGCAGAGGACGGGGGAGTTGGCAGAGTTGACAGTGCCCTTCCTTGCTCTGCTCCCCTGCAGTTCCACAGCCATTCCTGTGCAAGCCCTTGGGGGGGCTGTACTCCCTGCCTTACCTGGGGCAGCGGCTGCCCAAGGCTGCAGACACACTGAGCCGTGCCGAATGGTGGGAGCTGCTCTTCTTTGTGAGGAAGCTGGAAGCACAGGAGCAGAAAGAGATCACCTGTCTGATCCAGCAGCACCAGGGAGAGCAGGTAGGGGCCAGTGCCTGCAGCAGGGAGATGGGAGGGAGAAGCAAAGTGAGCATTAGGGAAAGGAGCAGGCCCAGAGGAGATGGCAAGTGTGAGTTGTGCAGGGACAGCCTGAACGGGGCAGAAATGGGAGGGTGAGTGGGGATGGCGAAAGCTTGGAGAGCTTGGCCCAGCAGAGCAGTGAGTGGAGATGAGAGGAAAGGCAGTGTCCCCTGACTGGAAGAGTGACTGTCCAGCAGGGTTTGGGCAGGCGAGGCAAGGCCGTGGGGTCATTCTGCCAGTTGCAGTTGGGTGGTGAGCACGGGTGGGGAGGTGTGGGCTGGTGGGAATTGGGCTGGGGACAGGCAGGGGAGGGTGGCAGTGGGGAGTGGCCCTGGGCATCTCTGGCGGTGCAGCCTTTCTGTCCGTTGTGCCAGTGGCTGCCACAAGGGCCGTGGGGTGCGTGGCGAGCCTGAGATGAACTTGCCCCCGTGGGTGTGGCTGTCACAGGTGGATGAAGAAGCCCTGATGCAGCTGTCGTTACCTGTGGAGCTGGCCCAGAAGGTGCTGCAGGTTCTGGAGAAGCGGTGCCAGGGCAGCTCTCTGCGTGACCTGCGTGGCTCCTGTGTCTATGCCAGACACTTCCTCGGGAGAGGGGCAGAGCAGGATGGTGGGGGGAGCACCACAGCGTCCTCAGAGGGTGACAGGAGCACCGGCCCTGAAGGCACAATGGCCAAGGCAGTGGAGGGAGACCTTTCTGCAGCCCCAGGGTCACCCCAAGGCTGCAGTGAAGTGGCAGTGAAGTCGGACTCCCAGCTGTTCAGCGAGCTCTTGGAGAGGGAAGGGCTGTTCTTGCCAGAGGTGACGGAGGAGCAGAGCCAAGGTAATGTTCTGCTGCACGCTGGGGCGCAGGTGCAGTGCTGGCAGCAGCACTGCTGCCTCCACAGGGGAAGGCTCTGGGCAGGGCTGCCTGAAGTGGGGTGCCTGTGGGTGCTGGGTGTGTGGGCGTGTGGCGCCCTGGGAGCTGCTGGAGGTGTCACCTCCAGGCTGTCCTGACGCCTCCGTCCCTCCGGCCAGCGTTGGGCGGCTCCAAGGGGCTGAGTGAGAGCGGCTCGCTGGCCAAGGTTGCGGCTGTGGTGGAGGTGATCCAGAGCAGCAGCTCAGCGGTGGGGCTGCGCTTAGCTGGGCTCAAGCACATCCTGAAGATGCTGGAGGAGGAGCCCAAGTCGGAGCAGCAAGTCGGCACAGCCCAGGACAGGCTGGGCACCGGGAGAGCTGGGTGAGTGCTGGGGTGCTGCGCACTCCTCCTGCTGCCTGGAGAGGGCCCTTTGGGCAGGGTGGGGGACCGTGCTGAGCTGGAAGAGCGGGAGTGTGAAGGGTGGTATGTGCAAGAGGAAAGGTGGATTTTGTGTCCCTTTGTCCCAGGCAGGCTCATTGGCAGGGCTGTCCCAGCTGCAGCGTGGGCAGGAAGGAGGTGGCTGGCAGGGCCCAAGGGTGCTCTGCCTGAGGTGTCCTGTGACACGCAGGGAGAAGCTGGTGCAGGTGTCAGTGGAGCTGCTGAGCACGGAGGTGGCAGAGAAGGCGCTGGTGGCGGTGACGCTGCGGCTGCTGGCCGTGCTGCTGGCCCGGTACGAGTGGCGCGTGCCCTTTGCCACGGAGGGCGGCGTGCGGGCCGTGCTGGCCTGCATGCAGCAGCACGGCTGCTCCGCCCTGGTGCAGCAGGCCGGGCTGGCGGTGAGTGCCGGGGGATGCGGGGGTGGGCAGGGGTGCGCGGGCTGCCCCGGGCGTGGTGGAGGGGCCGCTCCCTGTGCGCCGCTCTCGTCCTTGCAGGCCCTGAAGGTGCTGGTGGGAGCTGCGGACGCTGAGCCGGGAGGTGCCGGTGGGAAGTGCTTGCCCTGGAACCACGGCGACGCACAGATGATGCGGGAGATCTTTGCCAGCATCGGCTCTGCCTCCAGCAAGGGCTCTGCCGGCCTGCTGAGCAGCATCCCTGCTGCCCTGAGCACCATGCAGAGGGTCCCAGGGTAGGGGCAGAGTGTGGGGAGCGGCTGAGGTTGGGGGGAAGGATGGGCAGAGGGCGGGCAGGTGGCTTGTGGGTGCAGGGGAGGCTCTGTGCCTGGGGTGGAGAGTGGCACGGCTGTGTTCCCACAGGGGCTCCTCAGGGGTGCAGAACGGCCTGCTGGTGGTGAACATGCTGATGGATGGGCACCGGGGCCTGGCGGAGCAGCTGGCGAGCTGCGATCTCCTGGCAGTGCTGCAGAGCTGCTGGAGGGCCGGGCAGAGCAGCGGCTGCCCCCAGGCAGTGCTGGCCCTCAGCGCCATCAATCGCCTGGCGGAGCACGGGCTGCCCCTGGGCCCGGAGGCAGCAGGTACCGTGCTGCCCACCCTGCCCGTGCCACGGCCCCGCGGGTGCCACGGGCAGGGCTGCCTGGCCCGGCAGGGCAGAGCACCCTGAGGGGCTGCTGCCGCTGGAGTGAGTGCCTGGGCTGGGCTCACGTGTCCTTGTCATGGCAGGCAGAGAGGTCCTGTTGGACCCAAAGGGCGTGCAGATGCTGCTGGGTGGCCTGGACGATGGCAGCTTGTCCAAGGAGGTGGTGGTGGCCCTGGAGCGGCAGCTGTGCAGTGAAGGCCCTGTTCCCTCTAGCCACGTGGCCCAGCTGCTGCAGGACCACAGCTGCTTCAGGCTGTTGCTGCGCAGCTTGGAGCTGCTGGAGACAGAGAAGGCTGTGAGCCTGAGCATCCTCAGGTGGGTGCAGGGCAACTGGGGGGAGCGTGGGACCCCCTGAGCAGGTGTGTGAGTGCTGGTGGTCATGCTGGGGAGATCCAGGGCAGGTTTTTGGGATCTGGTGGGGGTATTCTTCACTGGGGGCAGGCTCACCCCAGCCTGTAGGCAGGTGCTGATTGGTGTGTTCTGGGGCACAGGGCCACATGGAGCCAGAGCAGCTGTGCCTGGGTGCTGGTGGGGACATATGGGGCAGCAGAGGACATGCCTGGGTGCTGGTGGGGACATACGGGGCAGCAGAGGACATGCCTGGGTGCTGGTGGTGTGTGCAAGGTGCCAGGGAGCCTTGGTTCCCAGTCCTGGAGAGGTGCCTTCCAGGCGGGGCAGGGAAGCAGGGCTGCCTGTAGCACTGCTGTCCCTGTGCCCCGGCCTGAGCCTGCCCCCTCTGTCACCCAGGATCCTGAACAAGTTCCTGGACAGTTATGAGGAGGATGTGCTGCCCTGGCATGAGTGTGTGGAGCCCTGTGTGTCCTTCCTGATCACCCACAGCAGCAGCTGGGAGGTGAGGGGGCCCCGGGACTCCCAGCAGGCAGGGTGGCTGTGCTGGCTGTGCCTCAGGCAAGCAGGGCCCCGCGGGTGGCAGCCTGGCCTTGTGTCCGAGGTGCTGGGAGAGGTGGGGAGCGTCTGTCCTGGCCATGTCCGTGACCTGGTGGCCCTGTGCCCAGTCTGGCTGTGCCTGGCCAGGCTCTGGTGGGGCTGGGATGAGGGGAATGGAGCTGCAGCTCCGGCTGCTGGGGGGCCCTGGGGAGTTGCCAGCAGTGCCCCACGTCTGCTCATGGCTGCATCTCAGTAGGTGCTGCAGGAGGTCGTGGGCTTCCTGCACCGCCTGGGCAGTGCCAGCAAGGACTGTGTGGTGGTGATGTGCCATGTGGGCACCCACGAGGCTCTGTGCAAAGCCCTGGAAAAGCACAGCACAGTCCTGGCGCTGGCGCCGGCCCTGCTCAACCTGCTGACGGAGTGTGAGAAGTATGCCGGCCTCTACAAGAAGCTGATGAGCAGCATCTTGGCTGGCTGCATCCAGGTGGGCCTGGGGAGGCACAGCTGCCTGAGGATTTGGGTCTGGGGGCATCAGGCTGTGCCTGCTGCTGAGGGATGGCCTTGTGCTCTCTGGCTGGCACAGCCCTGCAGGGGCTGAGGGGAGCAGGACCTGGGTCCCCTGGTAAGAGCCTTGCCCCATCCCACAGCTGGTCCTGGGACAGATTGAGGAGCACCGCCGGAGCCAGCAGCCCATCAGCATCCCCTTCTTTGATGTCTTCCTGCACAACCTATGCCAAGGTGAGAGGAGGCAGGGGGAGTTGAGCCCAGGCTTGGTGGCTGGAAACTCCTTGTGCTCTGCCCACAGGCTCCAGCATGGAGGTGAAGGAGGACAAGTGCTGGGAGAAGGTGCAGGTCTCTTCCAACTCGCACCAGGCTAGCAAGCTCATGGACAGGAACCCCAGGACCTACTGGGAGTCAAATGGCAGCACCGGCTCCCACTTCATCACTGTGCACATGCAGTGTGGAGTGGTGATCAGGTGGGGCTGGGCCGGCAGGGCTGTGTGTGGAGGAGAGGGCTTTGGGGATCTGTGCCAGCCCTGCCACAGTGTCCCCGTCCTGGGGGCAGCGGGACTGACGGGCAGTGCGTGGTGCTGTCAGGGTTAGGGCAGGGAGGCGGGGATGGCCGGGCAGCCTCGTGTTTGCTGTGCTGCAGGGAGCTGAGCATGCTGGTGGCCAGTGAGGACTCCAGCTATATGCCATCGAGGGTCGTGGTGCTGGGTGGGGACAGCCCTGCCACCATCAGGACAGAGCTCAATGCGGTGAGTCCCCGTGGGAGTGGTGGGCTGGTCCTTGCCGTGCCCCGGGGCGGTGTGGCTGTGGTGTGAGGCCCTGGGAGGTGCCCTCGGGGAGGTGGGAATGGCAGGAGCTGCGCTGTGGGAGCCTTCTTGGGCTGCCTGTCACGCTGAGGGCTCATGCCTCCCTGCAGGTGACCATCCTGCCCTCGGACAGCAGAGTGATCCTGCTGGAGAACATGACCCGCTTCTGGCCCATCATCCAGATCCGCGTGAAGCGGTGCCAGCAGGTAGGGGAGCTGGGCCTGGGGCTGGGAGTGGGCAGTGTGGGGCGCTGGGGCTGTGCCCCAGGAACTGAGGGTCCCGCTGTCCTGCAGGGTGGCATCGACACACGCGTGCGTGGCATCGAGGTGCTGGGTCCCAAGCCCACCTTCTGGCCCATCTTCAGGGAGCAGCTGTGCCGGCGGACGTTCCTCTCCTGCACTGCTCGGGCTCATGCCTGGAGCCAGGAGATCTGCCGAGACCGGGGGCGGCTGCTGCAGCTCTTTGGCAGGTGAGTCGTGTCCTGGCTGTGCCATCGCATCCCTGGTGTCCCGGGGGGACATGGCTGGCAGCCTGTAGGGAACTGCGGGGCTGGGAAAGGAGCAGCTGGCTGTGTCACCTGGATGGGAGGGGCCCTTGCTCCTTCCTGGCCACCAGAGATCCTTCCTGGCCGGAGCCACCTTGGGGTCATCTGGGTTTAAGCTGGGCTACCCCCCTAGAGCAGGATGCCGGTCCCCCCAGGGCTGGCACGTCCTGACAGAGGTTGGCCAGGCACAGCAGGATCTCGTGGCCACAGGCACTGCACAGCCCCCATTTGGCAGGAGGGGCGAGGGCCCCAAGGGCCATTGGGGGCAGGCCCCGAGACAGCAAGGGGCTCTCCCTGGCTGCTGGGGGCTAGTGGGGCCAGCGAGCCATCGTGCCTTGGCAAAGGGCAGAGCAGGGAGCCACCACTGTATTCTGCTTTCCCATGGGAGTTCTCCAGCCCTTGGCACCGTGTGCTGCCCGGTGTCTGTTGCAGACTGAACCGGGCGCTGCGGCACGAGCAGGGCTTTGCCAACCGCTTCCTTCTCGACAATGAGGCAGCCCGGGCACTGGGCAGGACGTTCTGGGAGGCCCTGGTGAAGCCCTTGGTGCAGAGCATCACCAGCCCAGGTACCCTGCGCTGTCCGGGACCCACCTGTGCCGTGCCCCAGGCAGAGGCACCTGGCTCTGAGTCTGGTTGGCCTCGCAGACCCTGATGGTGTCAGTCCCCTGGGCTGGCTGCTGACTGAGTACCTGGAGAGCGTGGAGCTGTCCCGCCGTGCCACGGGACACAGGGCTGCCTTTGCTTCCTGCGTGCGGCGCCTGACCCAGCTCCTGGTGCACGTGGACCCCGGTGGCCCCGAGCCAGAGGAGACCAGAGCAGCTGGTGAGCCAGGGGCTGCTCCAGAGTGCCAGGCTGTGGCCCTGGGGCTCCTCTTGGGAGCATCCTATGGCACAGAGGCTCCTGAGCCGGGTCATGCTCAGGTCATGCTCATGCTTGTGGTCATGCCCCAGCAGGGCCGTGCCTCTCCAGTGTCCCCTCAGCCCTGCTGTGGCAGGTCAGTGTGTGGGGCCTGCTCATGGAGCTACACTGAGCCTGAGGTTGACCCTTGGCAGGTGGGAAGGAAAGGAAGAACAAGGAGGTGCCAGCCAGGACTGCAAAGGCGGTGGTGGAGAAGTCGAGAGGCCTGTGGGGAATTTCGCAGTGCTGGCGCGGTGTGGTGCAGCAGCAGGTAGAGCTTGGAGGGCTGACTGGGAGGGGTGTGGGACCTTCCCTGGGTGGTTGGAGCAGGGAGCGGGGTCTGGCAGTGCCCTGGGAGCATGGGGAGGGCAGAGGGCTGTACCTGGCCTCCACAGAGCCTGGAGCGATGTGGGGACAGCCCTGCTGTGCTTGTCACGCTGGCACGGCTCGAGTGCCAGCGAGGCCAGGAGACAGGTCTGGTGCCAGGCTGTTCCTTCCTGCTGGGCTGCTGCTGCGTGTCCACAGTGCCCGCACAGCCCCTGGGCAGCCCTCAGAGCTGCGCTCCCACCTCGGCAGCCCTGCAGCGGCAGCAGGGCCCCGAGTCCCGGGGAGCCAGGCAGTTGGTGTCGGCAGGGCAGGGCTGGGGATGTTCCAGGGGCACGTCCCGCTGCGGGCTCAGCCCTCGCGCTGCTCCCGCAGGTGCAGCGGTTCCTGGAGGCGGCGGGGCAGGCGCCGGACCTTGCGGAGCGCTACTGCCGGCTGTACCGGCGCCTGCGCGGGGCCACGGAGGAGCTCTTTGGGCAGCAGGCCGCCTTTGTGCTGGCCCTGGGCCAGGGCTTTGCCGGGGCTTTGCTGCAGCTCTCCTTCCTGACTGCGCTGCATGTGAGTCGAGGGAGCACGGCCCCGGTGCTGTGTTCCTGGGCAAGGGCTGGGGAGCTGCCCTGGCCCACGGCACTGGGGCAAGCTCTGGGTGGGTGGTGTCCTGTTCCCTCTGAGCCACAGAGCCCTGCCCCGGCACCCCGGATGGTGCCCAGCTCAGGTGCGTGGTGCTCATCCCAGGGTGGGCCCGGCCCTGGCACACTCTGGCCTTGGGCTGGTGCCTGGGCACCCTCGGTCCCTGGGATTGCCAGAGTTTCCCAGCTGCTCCCTGTAGGGACATTCCCCCATCCCGGCCCTGTGGGCACCTGGTGAGTCCTGTCTGTAGCCAGCCCTGTCCCTTGCAGGTGAGTGAGCAGTTTGCCCGCTACCTTGACGTGCAGATCCAGGAGCTCCGCAGGGCTGCGGGCAGCACGGGGCCTCTGGAGCGGCTGCAGCAGTTCTTGGAGCCCTTTGTTGTCTTCAGTGGCCTGGAGTTTGCCCACACCTTTGAACACTTCTACAGGTGAGGCTGCTGTGTCTCCAGAACCAGGGGCCTGCTGCAGCGTGGCCTGGTGTGCTGGGGGAGCTTGGCCTGCTGTGGCAGTGGTGCTCCCACTTTGCTTTTATGGGATCATGGAGCGCAGAGGGCCTGCGGGTGCTGCCAGTGTGTGGAATCACATTCCCTGCTGGGGACAGGGAGGGGCCACGCGCCGTGGAATACGGTGGGCTCGGACCTGTGGCTGTCTCCTGGTGGGTGGCTGATGGCCACAGGGCTCGGGGCCAGCCCTGACTGAAGCTGGTGGCCGTGGCAGGCACTACCTGGGGGACCGGCTCCTGACACAAGGGCCGTCATGGCTGGAGGAAGGCATCGTGGAGCAGATCGGGCTGTGCTTCCCCAGCCGCTTTCCCCAAGATATGCTGAGCAACTTGGCCGAGTCGGAGGAGCTCCAGCGGCAGTTCCGCCTCTTCCAGCTGCAGGAGCAGGATAAGCGGCTGCTGGAGCTGGACACGGGCCTGGAGGAGGTGAGAGGGAAGGGGGCGTGGGCAGGCCGGAGGCCGCCGGCTTTCCTTGCGGGGATCCCGGAGCCTGACTTGAGCTGCCCTCGTGCCCCTGTGCCCAGGTGCTGGGAACAGCCACAGTGCCAGACGTGCCAGAGGTGAAGGTGCTGGCCCTGTCCCCGCGCTGCTGGCCTGTTTCCCCGCTGTGTTACATGGATAACCCTGGGAGGTTTTTCCCAGCGGTGCTGAGCTCCCCACTGGATGAGTTTGCTGACTTCTGCTGGCAGAGTGAGTTCTGTGGCTGGGGGTGTGTGCCCAGACCCTCCAGGGCAGCTCAGCCACAAGTGGTGGTGGGCTGGGAGTGCCTGGCAGGGCTGGTCCCCGTCCCTGGCACTGACACTGTCCCTGGCAGGCCAGAGCCAGCTGGGCTGGGAGTGCACGAAGCCCCGTCGGCTGCAGTGGACGTGGCTGGGCCACGCCGAGCTGCAGTTTGGAGACTGCGTTCTGCACGTGTCCACGCTGCAGATGTACATCCTGCTGTGCTTCAACAGCGCCCAGGTAGGGGCTGGAGCCACGATGGGGCCAGGGAGGCAGGGGAGGCTGGAGCATGGCAGGGCTGTGTCCTCCCTTTCCTTCTGGTGGGGTCTCCAGCAGTGTTTGGGGCACAGGACCCCATTCTTAGGCAGGGCCCGTGGCCAGTGAGTCTTGGCCATTGCCCTCCCACCCTGTGCTGCAGGAGGTGGCTGTGGAGGCCCTGCTGCAGGCTACAGGGCTCCCTGCTGACCTGGTGCACCAAGCACTGACACCGCTGACCCACGGCCAGGGCATCCTGGTGGGGAGCTGCACGCCAGGGGGTGAGTGCGGGGCTGGGGCACCCAGGGGAGGGGCTGGCCTGAACCCCGAGGGGGTGCTGGGCTTAGGGGTACAGGAGCTTGTAGGGCTGGTGAAGGGGCTGGGTCCACGTGTTGGTGCTCAGGGCACGGGTTGTGTGTCAGGGTAGGGCCTGAGGCCAATGTAGGGCTGGGGGTGATGTGTGGGGTGTGGCTTGGGGCCATGGACGGGGCCTGGGTCGGCGTGGGTGGGTGGGTCTCAGGTCTGTGTATGGGTTTGGGCTGGGGCCAGGGGCCGTGTTCGTGGCTGTGGCTTGGAGCCACATGCTGGGGACAGGGTGGGGTGGCCAGCGGTGCAGGCAGCTGCAGCAGGCCCAGCTTGGGTCCCCCAGCCCCACATGTGTCCTGGGGCTCCTTCAGGGCTCAGCTCGAGGCTTGGCTGAGCCTGGGTTGGGGGCTGGCTCCAGGTGCACTGCGGCTGAACCAGGCAGCCCTGGCCCAGAGCTCCGACCGCCAGCTGAGGCTGCTGCCCCAGCAGAGGTACCTGCGGACAGAGAGGGCCGAGGTGAGCGCCCTGGAAAGGAAGAGGAACGTCCTGTGCTGCCTCATCACCCGCATCCTCAAGGTGGAGAAGCAGCTGCACATCGACAACCTGGTGTTCAGGGTACGGGGGTGGTGTGGGCAGAGGGGGCACAGGGGCTGTGTGGGGCTGCAGCCACTGCAGTGGGGCTCCCTTGCTGCTGTAGGTGATTGATGCCTGTCAGAAGGGCGAGCTGGGCCCCGGGGTGCAGTTCCTGAGCTTCTGCTGCCACAGTGTGGATGTGCTGTCCTGCATCCTGCACCTGCTGAACCAGGGCTATCTCCAGCGCCAGGAGGGGAGGCCTCATGTCTTGGAATACATCTCTGCTGAATCCACAACACCTCTTGGCGGCCAAGCACAGATAACTTTCCAGTGCAGGCCAGCCCAGGCATCCCTGGAGGAGGATGGCAGAGACAGCCTGCATTGGTAGGGGTGCATGCTGACCAGGTGTGGAGGGGTGTGCATCTCCACCCTGTCTGAACATGGCACATTTCTCCATGTCAGGTGGAACCCTGGAACAGGCAGAGCAGAAGAATATCTCATGGCAATGCTGCAGGTGCCAATGGGACACACGCTCAGTCCAGAGGAGGCAAAGCTGCTCATGAACCAGACAGTACAGCAGGTCCAGGATACTCTGAGCATATCGGATGATGTTGCTCGACACCTCCTCATGCACTGTAGGTGGAATGTGGATTTCCTGATTCAGTGTTACATGGAGAACCGTGAGGCCCTGCTCGTTTCCTCAGGGCTGCAAGTGCAGGATGTCCAGCCTCCCCCAAGCCCTGGAAGCCACTGCCCAGTCTGTGTGAACCAGCTGTGTCCTACTGAGAAGCCACCAACCCTTTGCTGCATGCACTACTGTTGCAAGGTGAAGAGCCTTTGGTTCCTGCTGCTTGACAGGCAATTGCTGCTGTCTACTTGGAGCAGATGTTCTTTGTCTTAAGGTGTTATCAGGGGATTTTTCAGAGCTTATACATTCTCTTCTCAGCTCACTTTTTTATGATCCTTCACCCCTGGTTTGTCTATTCCCACTTTTGTGCTTTGGGGTACTTATCTGTGATCTGTGGGGTTTTGTGCACCCTCTGCTGGGTGGGGAGGGCTTCCAAGGTCACATGGCCCTGCTTAGGTCTGATCTCTCCTCTTGTGCCCTGACAGCCCTGTTGGAGGGAATATCTCACAACTCGCATTGAGCAGAACATGGTTGTCAACTGCACCTGTCCCATATCCGAGTGCCGTGCTCAGCCGACCACAGCCTTCATCTACTCCATCGTGTCCTCTGAGGAGGTTATAGCCAAGGTGAAGCAGGAGGGGTGGCTGCTGGGTGTTCAAGCTCTCCTGCATTTTGGTCAGCACTATCAGATGATTTTGTTGCTGCTTTCCCTCTTCCTGTTTCCAAGACTGGCAGCATGATAATGGTGGCCAGCCAGATTTTGTCTGTTTTCTCTGATTATGGTCAATTCCAGCTGTTCAGGAAAGCATAACATCAATGAAAGAGCACAGTGGTGTTTCCTCTTAAGTATATCTCTAGCAAGCAACACTTCAGGGACATCATTAGTTCAGGACTAGATGAGAGCCATGGTAGCAAGGTCATGACAAATATCCTCCACTGGTGTGCTGGAAGCAATTTAACAGTAACAATAATAATAATAACAATAATAATAATAAATCAAGGCCAAATGACAACATGAGTAAGTTCATTTTACTGCTGCATCAGTGACCCCTATGTCCTTCTTCTTCCATTGGTCTCTGGCTTTGAGCAGTTCAGGTTTTTATGAAGATGGCAGGAATTGCCACATCACATCAGACTTAATCTTCACTGTAAGTCTGTGTGAGTCTGCAGACTTATCTAAATCAGGCTTTCTGAGCTCTGCTTACTTTAGTACTTGGTCATCAAGCTACAGCAGTAGATGCTTGTTCTAAAACCTACTTTTTCTGTTTTCTCAGCTTCTAGGGCTGAATGCCCTCCTGACCTAATAGCAGAGCTGTAGCTGTCACATGACAGACTCTTTTTGTTAACTGCTTGGAAGAACAGTCTCTTTCCCACTGCTCTATTCTTTGACAGTTGTATCTTTTGTCTTTCTTTTAATAGGAAATGCTTGGAGAATTATTGCAAATGTCTGGACAGTTAGTCCTTAGTGCATTTGCAAATCCCATAGTCACACCTGTCTGAAAGCAGGATTTAGTAGCCTGTTGGTGTGACTGTTTTATAAAAAGAAATAATTATTGCAGATTGACATAAATAGCAGCTAATTTTAACAAGTTGCTCTGATGCTCTCACCAAAATGTTATGTTTTCCTTTTGATCAGTAAGTGGTGTGGCTGGAGTGTTAATGTCTGATGCAGAGTCACACATACAGTCATAGAATATTTTGGGTTGCAATAATTTGTGGAGTTCTCTGGTCCAATCCTGAGCTCAAAATAACTAGATTATTGTGTGAAGATCTAATGCTGGAATTATATTTAAACATAAGAAAACTGGTTGTTGGGGTTGGGGATTTCTTTCCAATAGTGAGGGTAGTGAGACATGGTACCAGTTTGGGGGGAGAGATCTGTGGTCTCTGTGCTTGGGTATATTCAGAATTCAACTGGACACAGTCCTGAGCATTCCTGCTTTAAGCTGGACAGTTTGAACCAGGTTTTATTTCCAGAAATGCCTTCCAACCTCAGCAAATCTATGAAATGCTTCTAGATATGACATGGGCGGGGATAGAAAAATGAACACAAAGGGAATGAAAGGGTAAACTGACTGAGTGCTCTTTTGTTGGGTGCAGCTGTTTGGTGAGATGCATAGCCCAGAGCACCAGACACTACTTTTAAGGCCTAACCATGCAGCTTCTCAGACTTAAATCTCTTCTGTGGCTTCTCATTGCAGTATGAAAAAGCCCTCCTTAGGCGCTATGTTGAGTGCTGCTCCAACCTGACATGGTGCACCAACCCTCAGGGCTGTGATCAGATCCTTCTTAAGGATGGACTTGGTTATGGAGCAGCCTGTTCTAAGTGCTCCTGGATATCCTGCTTTAACTGCAGCTTCCCAGAGGTGAGCCTGAGCTGGATCACAGGCTGTACTCACTTAGGTTTGGCACCCACCCTTCTGCTTTTTTATGGTTGAGTGATTGTCTTTTCCTCTCTCTCAGGCCCATTATCCTGCCAGCTGCAGCCACATGTCTCGGTGGGTGGATGATGATGGATACTATGAGGGAATGACAAGTGAGGCCCAAAGCAAACATCTGGCTAAGCTCATTTCAAAGCACTGCCCAAACTGCCAGGCTCAGATAGAGAAAAATGAGGGGTGCCTGCAGTGAGTATACAATTTTGTTTGCTACTGTGTTTGTGACTGGGTGGCACAGTCCCTGGCTGTAGTGTAGGGGAGCACTGTCAGGAACTGTCTGCAAGTGGCTTTCAGGACTGAGCAATTGCCATTGTCCTTCTGCAGTATGACATGTGCAAAGTGTAATCATGGCTTCTGCTGGCGCTGCCTCAAGCCCTGGAGGCCGAATCACAAGGATTATTACAACTGCTCTGCTATGGTGAGTGGTTTGCTGTATCTCCTTGGTTCATGATTGTGTTCAGAGGCCCCTGTAGCCTCTCAGGATCTCCACTTGGGCCCTTTACTCTGGACTTCGTCATTTTGCCTGTAATACTGGCATTTCCAGGTAGCCCTGCTACTCAAGGGAAATTGCTACAAGTTCCTGTACCTTTCCTTCCAGGTGAGTAAAGCAGCTTGGCAGGAGAAGCGTTTCCAGGATTACAATGAGAGATGCACTTTTCATCACCACGCAAGGGTAAGGCCTCCTCCTTCGCTTGCAGACACTGACTGCTGCTCAGCCCTAGTGAGCAGGGCACTTTCTTGTTTCAGTGGCACTTTTGTGTCAGTGTCTTGTCTGCTTAGAAGCAGGCTTCACATCCAGGCTGGGATCACTGGATGATCATTTTTCCCTGGCTCTGACATTAAGGAGTAGTCCTTGGCTGCTTTCTTCTGTCCAGACTGTTGTGAAAACTGAGCACTTGACTAGTGGTGTTGAGGGGCTCAGAGTGGTGCAGGAGTTGGAAGCATTGGTGACTGAAGGCTGAACTCTGCTCAGAGCTGAGGTGCTGTAAAAGCTTGAAGTGATGGCACAGTAGAAATGTCATAGTTGGATGCATTAAATGCCCTTCTGCTGCCTACATCTTCTGGGATGGCACTTCAGAATGCTTAGCAATTATTTGTGTGGAAGGTGCTGTTTTTTCAATCTTGTGAACCTTGACAATGACATTGACCTTTTTTCCCTCTCCTTTGGTTTTTGCAGGAATTTGCTGTAAGTCTGAGGAACAGCATTTCTTCCATCAGAGAGATGCCAAAAATTAGGAACTTGAACTTTGTCCTTGATGCCTGCAAAGTGCTAGAACAGGCACGGAAGGTAAGGCTGGATAATACAGTTTTGCTGAGGTTTAGACTTAATTTTGCTGGTGTGAGGAGACACCAACCTTATTCTCCAATCAAGAGGATACAGAGAAAGCTTGAAGGAAGGAGTAGCATCAGGACAGGGGAAGAGCTCATGTCTGCCATTCCCTGCTTTGAGTCTGAGTTGAACTCTGTTTGGAAGCAGTGAATTACCCCACTACATGTCCTCATAGCCACATTAAAAAGGATTTGTGGTACAGCCACTGTACATGTGCAGTAAGCCTGTGACACCTCAGGTCTGTAATACCTCTTCTGTGCTGAAACATTGGCATGAGGTGGGAATTGTCTTTGCAGTATTGACTTTGCATATACACCCTGGTTTTGCAGGTAGGCTTGATTTTGAGAGAGGCATGTGGGACAAGGGTGCCTGACCCTATTTTGTCTTCTAAATGTGATAGCCCCTGAGTTTTCTGGGGTACATATCATTGTTGCTTGCTGCTGCTGTTGAATTTCTGGCCCATTTCTTTCAATGGAAATGGTGCTCTCATTCCCTGCTGGGTGTCTATATGGCTTTAGGGGTCATTCATTTAAAACTGGAGTTTGCCACTTGTTGAAATACGTTTGTTGTGGGCTCTTGGTGCTGTACAGCACCATGCCTCCTCATCCCTACTTCCCTTTGGGCTCCATTCTCTTTGTTGTTCAGCCTGGGCTGCCCAGCATTGCCTAGTCCCATGTGCTGAAGGGCTTGACTCTTTGCCCGCTGGTCAGTCACACTTATTATGCATTTACAGTCTGTGTTCTTGTGGTGGTTTGCAAGTGGGAAAAATCAGTTGCTTTAGACTTCAATATAAAATAATTGCACATTCATTTCCAATCCTGCCAGTAGCTTGAGTTAGCCTGGTACTGCTGTCTCTTGTCATAATGGGTCATTGGGCTATGGCCACAGGCCAGAGGCCACTGATAATAATGAGGTCTGGAAGGGTTTGATACTGCTCCCTTCTTGCCCGCTCTGAAGCTGAAGGAGAGTGCTCAGCAACATGATCTGTACTTTTCCAGGTGCTGGCCTACTCTTGTGTGTACAGCTACTATAACCAGGACACTGAGAGCATGGATGTTGTGGAACAGCAGACTGAGAGCCTGGAGCTGCTCACTAATGCTCTGCAGATCCTTCTGGGTAAGTCCTGCAGCCTCTTTGAAGTTGTGACTAACATTTCCAGCTGTAGTCAAAGGGCAGCAGCTCTAGTGGGGCGATAGCATATATACCAACACCCAGCTGGCCTCACTTCTCCCAGTCCAGTCCTTGCCTTCTTGATGTAATTTCTCAGAAAGTCCACTGGAGCAGTTTGGCTGCCAGTGGAGATGGATGCAGTATTGAACAACATGTTCTGTTCTGAAAGAGGGGTGCGTTTGCGCAGGAGATGTAAGCAGCTATGGCTGGCTTCACAATCAGAGCCAAGGACTTGGTCTCTGTTCAAGAGTGTGGGATGCAGCATGACTTTGTTGGCCTTGAATTGCAGAGGAAACCCTGCTGCAGTACCAGGACCTGGCCACTTCTCTTCAGCTTCTGAAAGCAGAGCACTTCCGTGTGGGTTTGGAGTTGGTGCGGCAGATCAAGGAGCGTCTCTTTGCAATTCTCTGGCACTCCACACAGGTGAAGGCCACATGGCTGTTCGTGGCTTGTCTTGCTCTGGTCTAATTTGATTGTGGGTAAACTAAAGGGTTTGATCAGCTGAGAGCATAAACTCAGGATTGTGTGTCTGCATGGTAGGGGTTTTGAAGCACAAAATACACCCCAAATTACATACTGTTTCTGTCTCTTTTGGCTGGTTTTTCCTACTAACAGGATTTCCATGTTGGGCTCCAGACTTCAGAAGATGCTGTTCAGAGAAAGTTGAAACTTGCAAATGTGCCTGCTTCAGCCCTTGCATGTACAGGGTGAGTTTTCTTAGTGGAGTAACAGAGGAAGGTGAGTGAGTACGCACAAAAAGCAGGTGTGCAGAGTTTTCTCCTGTGCTCACCGCCATACAAAAGAGTGAATGACAAACACTGATTACTTGTGTCCTGTTTTGTTGTTTGAAGTAGCAATTTAAGTGATGTAGTGGTGTGGGGAAATGAGCAAAACCTCTGCTTGTATGCAGCTATGATCAAGAAAGCTCCATCACTGGCAGACTCAGTTATGGAAGTTGTTCTGCCTGGACTCTCCTGAGTTTCTGTGGCTGGGGATGCTGAGACAATGACAGTAGGGTGTTGTGGGGCTGGGTTGCGGCTGATGCTCACAGCAGTCTGTTTTTATGCTTCCTCAACAGGCAGAAACATATCATCCTGTGTGACTCCCCCAACACAGATGAAGGTGGCAAGGATGTTGAAGATGAGGAGTATGAGCCACAGTGGCAGGAAGACTATGATGATGATGATGACCTTGATGAAGATAACTTTATGATGGATAATGATTCAGATTGTGATTCTTACTTTGATGATAATGATAGCTATCGTAGCTAACACTAGAGTGTTCTGTTACCTAGCCTGCCACCTTGGACCTCTGCCTCTACTTTGTCTCAATCGGTTTGTGTTACTGTTTTTCCTCAAAGCAGGGAGGAGCTCTCAGATGGAACAAAACATTTTCTCTGGGAGGTTTCTTGCTCAGTGCCTCTTGAATTGCAGGAACATGCTCTGGGCAGCTAGTCTGTGTTACTATGGCCACCTCTCTCAGAAAGACATCTTGCCTTTTTCCCTTGTCTCCAGTTCTGCCTATAGCTATTTAATTGAGTTAGAAAGCCCAACTGCAGAGTGAGGACCACTTGCCACCTGTAAAAGGCCTGCTCCTTGTTCTTGGTGTGCTGTCCCCAAGGGCACAGGGGAGGGTGGCACATGTCCCAGCACAGCACTGTCTAGTAAGGGCCAGTGTCTAGAAATGCTGTAAAAAGATGCATTTACACTCAAAGCCTCCCAGCTGGAGCTGGTGGAATTCTCTCCAGCCACATGGAGATGGATGTGGTTTGGTTCCTCTGGTTGAGAGGAACTGCATTTTTGCCCTTTGTTGGAGTTTTCTTCTCTGTTATGAAGCAGGAAGGGCTACTACGAGTGACACAAGTTTGCAGGATTGTTTAAGTTTATAAATATATGCACACACATATATTTTATATACATATATATATGCAGAGGTTGTTCAAATAATACTGTATCTTTGCAGAAGAAAAAAAAAAAAAAAAGAAAAACCCTGAGGAACAAGGGTTGAATAAAAGTTCTGTTTAAAAAAATAAATAAACAGTTTTCTTCCAGCACAAGCCTCTTGTTGTCTGTGGGGAATGGGGGAGTGGAGGAACAGCACGATATCTTAAAGTAAGGATGTGACCAGGATGTGCTTATCAAAGAAGTTCCTTGTGAAATTAATTATTTGTGAAATTAGTTAGAAATCACAAATTAGCTGGGTTTGGAATCCTTACCCAGACCACACAGTCTGTCCTGCAAAATGGCTTTTCCTTCCTGGGCAGTTCAGGGAACAGTGAGAGGGTGTGGGGAGCAATGGGAAAGAGGGCAGGGGACCAGACCATGCAGAGTAGTGGGGCTGGTGTTTCTGGGACCAGGTGCAAGACAGGATGCCTGCACGTTGATGGAGGTGGTAACGTTTGGTGCCCCGCAAAAGGCATATGTGGGAACTGCTATCAGGGCTTGAGGGGTGATTTGGGCTTGTTTTGGAGATACTAGGCTCTTAGGCCTTGGATATCATCGGGAAGGGATGTGGGGTTCTTGTGGACAGGGAGTAGCTGCCAGACAGACCATGAGGGAAAACTGATTTTTCCACTTCCCTGCAGCTGGTAGCTCCTAGTCCTGCTGAATTTGTCCTGGTGGAAATCCCAACCCTGCTCCCCATATGTGGCAATGGGTTCCCTGTGGCGCCACTGGGCCCTCTCTTCAGGGCTCCTTGCAGGAGCAACCTGAATTTCCCAGGTTGTTGGGGATGGAGCAGAACATCCTAGATGCCAAAGGTGCTTATGTGGAGGCTCACACCTGCAGTTCCTCATTCACTGTCTCCTGGATGTCTGCTTAAAACCCAAAGAATCAGGATTGTGAATCTCTGCTCTCATGGAGTGTTTGTACTGAACATCATGATCAAACCTTGCTCTCCTGCTCTGTGGGAGGTTTCTGTCCTCCCTGAGCCCGTAGGACACCTGTGTTAGGGTGTGACAGGACAGTTTGTGCTTTGCCAGTCAAACTACCTACCTGATGCTGGCCAAGGAGTCAAGGGCAACAAGAAGGGCTTCTTCAATTGTCATTCCTGTACCACATGCTCTGAGATCACCCGCCTTGAGCAGGAAGGTTGGACCAGGTGACCCACTGCGGTCCTTTCCAGCAACACTCCTGTGATTCTGTACTATATGGAGTGCACCTGAGAGTACTGACAGTGTTGGCAGATGCCACAAGGCCACTTTTCATCATCCTTAAAAGGTCATGTCAATGAAGAGGGTGCTCCTAGTGACTGGGAAAAGGCAGATAATATATCCATTGTCAAGAAGGACAACCCAGGAAATGAGGCCAGACTCACCACAGGGCTTGGGAAAGAGATGGAAATGCAAATTGCACCAAATTGCCAACTCGCTACTAAAACAATCAAATTGATAGTTCATCAAGAAGGTACAGAGAATTAATTCAGAAAGTTGTGGATTGCTCCAGGAGGAGGGGAAAACTAAATTCTATCAATCTGGAACCAAAAAAGTAACATAGTGATTCCAGAAGCAGTCTGTAGTGAGACCCTAGTTTCTGAATGGAAGGTTTTCTCTCCAAATACCATCCTTTGGAGATGTAGTGACTGGAGGAAAGATGAATATTTGCACTGTACTAGATTGCCAGGTCAGGAACATAAGCGAAAGAAGCAGTAAGATACAGTGTTATATAAAAATTAACATAATACAATTAAATTCACTGCCTGTTAAATTCCCCCGATGTACACACCACACTTAGCCATCTTCCCACATTACCAGCTTTGAAAAGCACAAAATTAGTAATAACTGGAATGCATTAACATTTCCCTCCATCCATTGGAGGCATTCCCAACAAGAATATTATTAGTGCCTTACCATTTAGAATGAGCAATATACCCCACAAGGTAATTTCTAGCTGAAAGTCTCTTGCTTACCTCTTGGTAGGCATTGTTCTGCAGATCAGGAACTCAGGTTCAAAAAGCATAATCAAGAGTGTGTTCTGCTGCCTGAAGAAACTCAAAAGAAGGGTTGGCAACATTCTAACCAGTCACTCCAAAGAGATCACAATCACCAAAATCATCCTTCAGGGATCCCTGCTCAGAGGACTTGATTATTACACAATCCCAGGCACCAAAGCAGCCAGCATCATGCCCAACCTCATGCTGCTGGGACTCAGGGTTGCCTGCCCAGTAGGCTCTGTGGTCCTTAGTCCCAGGATTCTGCAGACTTCAGGGGCCATGGTCCCAAGGGTACTGTTGAGGCACTTTCTGTAAGTCCTCACCTTTGCTTTGTAGTCATTTTTTGTGTGGTTTTGTTTAAGAGACATTAGGTTTAGGTATAGCAAATAGTGCTGAAGAGAGGGTGAGGGTTAGGGTTATGGTCAGTGTTGGGGTTTTAGGTGACGGGTTTGTATTATAGTTAGTCTTGAGTTTAAGGTTGGGGTTACAGTCACAAGGGATAAAGTTAGAGTTAGCTCTGAATTTAGGATTAGGGTTACTGTTTATAGGGATAGCATTAGGTGGTAGAGTTAATATTAGATTTACAGTAATTTTGGCTATATTTAGGGTTAGGACAAGTGTTGGACTTAAGGTGAGGGGTTAGTTGAAATATTGTTAGGGATAGAGATACAGTCATTAGGGTTAATGCTAGAGTTATGCTTAAGCTTAACTCTATTAACTGGGTAGCAGGTGCAGTTGTTACGACTCATTTTTTGTTAGTTTTTTGGGATATGATCATCTAGGTTTATGGATTTTGTTGTGAGGGATTTCGGTTAGTGATAGCCACAGAATTATTGTTAGGGCTTTTTTTTTTGGAGTGGTGGAAGTGTGGTGGGTATTATGTGAGGAGAAGGCACAGGAGCAATCCTAGTAGTGAGAGTATGATAATGACTGTGTCTGTTTTGGTCATTATGTACTTAGTAAGTTTTTCAATAATAAGTCATTTAAACAGGAATCCTGGTAGCAAGGGAAGTCCTGCTAGGAAACCTAAGACTAATATTGAGATTTTACTGTGTATGTGGATGTTACAGTGTTTGACAAGGGTGTTGCCCAACAAAATATCTCCCAAGGCTGCAGCCAATCTTGCTGGCCAGGACCTGAAGGGGTGTGGGGTTCAAACCAATGACAGCATCCAGACTGGGTCTTTCAAATGCCCTATATAAGGGAGAGGTTGGGAAAGTAAAATTTTCTGTAGTTTTCTGCTGCCATGTGAAGTTTGGGGTGAGTGGTCTCTGTCTCCTGTCCCCTCAACACTCTCCTCTCTCCCCGCTTCCCCCCACCCCTGACCTAACATGTGGATATTTTCATTCTTTAGGCCATTATCATTGGTAGTTTTTGAACTTTGTTTGCATTGAGAGCGAGGACTGTTGTGGCAATTATAAGGAAGTATAAGTAGAAAGTTAGTAGTGGGTGTTTGGCTATTACAGCCATAATTATTAGGCTATTCAACCCAAGTGAGAATTCCTAAGACTTTTCCAATCTGTTTTTGATTTAGTCCAGTTCAGTCATCAGTCTCCTAGAGCTGCTGAGGCAAGGATTATGGTGATTAATAATTTTGAGTAGAGTGATTTAGGACAAGAATGGTGATGGGTGGCAGTGAATTTAATTATTGCTGATAGCCCAGTTGTTGATAATCCCAGTGATTAGGGATTAAGTACTTCTGTGAATCAGAAATGGAAAGGGACTGGGACTAGTTAGACTGCAATTGCTGTTGTCAGTAGGGGCAGGACATTGTGTGGTTTGATTTGTTAATGTCACACTGGTTCTGCTTCAAAAGAAGATGAATGCTGAGGCGGCTGCTTGTACTAGGAAAGTATTTGATTATGGCTTCAGTGGCTTGTGGGTGGTGGGATTTGCAGATTTGGAGGTGAGTGGAATGATAGTGAGGGTGTTAATTCCTGTTATTGTTCAAGCCATGATTCAGGGCTGCACAGATCATTGGTATGATGGTGCCTGCTCCATTCTAGCTTGGATTCACCTTCCAAAGAGGCTCAGTACAGAAGAGTGGGATTCCATTTCCTACTGCCTGGAGTAATCCAAAGGGGTCTACAATGTCTGGGCCTTATTAGGCTTGTATGTAGGATTTTTCATTCTTCTAATATTAAGAAGGCTAAAGCAATTAAAATTGGGAACCATGGGACTAGGAACATGACAAGATAAAGATATTTAAAAGTAGAAAGTCAGCCCAAGATTAGCTATGGTGGGAAAAGAGATGAGGTAGAGAAATTATTTGAACCTCTGGATAATGGGATTAAATTTCTGACCTCTGCTATGGGAGCAGTCCTTTTCCAGGACAGGGGATAGTACTCACTTGGTAGTTTAATTGAGTTTATTACTCACGATTGCTTGTACTCACTTTATTTGTCCTTTTATAAATGAAAAAGTTCATTGTAGAGAGAAAATGACCTGGATTGCTCTGGTCTGAACACAGCTTGAAGATACAAATCCCTAAGAGCAGCTGCTGCTTTAGGATGTTCTAATACAACGTTGAAGTTGTAAACTTCATGTCAAAATGGGCTCTTGGAGGACATTGAGCAGTTTTCCCTGAGTGGTTTGTTCAACTGCAGGGAAGGGGGAAGGATAAAGAATTTGGGCTGGGGTTAAGTTAAAATGGCACTTTGCTGCTTCAGATTTCCTCCCAACTTTTGCAGCAGGGTGGCAGCTCCATCCCTGCAAACCACTCTCTTCTACAAACTGGTCCATGCTGGTCAGTGCTGGCTCTGTGTCAGAGTAGGTGGCTGACAGCTACAGACAATCCTGCAAGGACACCCATGGCATCACAACATTCTATCATTAGTTTACTCTGCTTTCTCCTTTTTGACAGTGGCCAAATCACTCACACTATCATCCAGGACAGGGACTGTGGCCACAGCTGACCACAAATTGGACATGGTCATGAGCTACAAGTCCTGTTGCTTTCTTTGCCATCAGTGTCGGCTCTCACGACAGATAAAATTCCCCTTGTTCCTTCTCCTTGCTGATAGGGTCCAACACTGAGGATGGTATTACAGTGCTATAGAAACACCATAAGGCCTCTCTGCTTGCAGAGAGGTCTTTGTGGTTTGCAGAAATAGCAGTCACAAC